GGCACAGACACACAATTATTGATTTTCTGCACGTTCAAAATTTTAGTTATTGCACACACGTCCAAGTAGCTTCCCCATTTGTTGCTGTTTCTCCCCCTCTGACGATGAGCTCTTGTAGGAGCTCGAAAGCTCAGGAAGAAATAAATTTCGTTCCAGTGATCGACCATTTGTCTCCTTTACCAAATCCAAGTAAGATATTCAACTGTGCAAACTAAATCGATTTCGCATCAAGAGGTACGCAGCAGTCCGCGGGGCGGAAGTGAGATCGTCGTCAAGTGTCCGGCCACGCTGGCCAAAAGTACAGACGCCAAAGTAAACATTCGCATTCCTTAGAGGTGGCGCGAAGGCGCGGCATGGCCTAGGTGGTCAGCGCAGATGAAAGGAACAGAGGGCAGTATAAAGGTAAGATCGGCAGCTTACCGTAGGCTCAGTATTTTAGCCAGATTCGCATCGGAATCGCTGAGGCCCTTGAAAATGTTCGTCTCGGGGGTTCGAACCAGATCAAAGGCGACAGCGCAGTGGTGGTTCTCAAGGGGCGAATTGGTGTTGTAGCAGATGGAGAGGCGTGACTGGACGTTATTCTGGGTGGGGAGGATAGCAGAAAAAAAGCGCTGTTAAGCAGTTCAGGCGCCGGTCAAGCGTAACGCCAAACAAGATGTCAACAATTGGCATGGCCAGAGTTCTCACGCATTCTTACTGACTTGCCCCGATAAGAAAAAAACAACTTGACTTACGCAAAGGACGAAAAAAATGCAAACACTATATATAGGACCGACGGTAGTGCCTTTTTAACCATCAACATGTGTATGGGGTGTCCCGAAATTATTTGCATCCAAATGCCACATTCACACTTTCTAAAGTAATATATATCTTACTATATTTTATTTACTTTACGGTGAGTTTTCATTTTACCTTTAGGACAGCTTCTACCCTACCTGACATCGAATGAATGACATTCTGGAGGGTCTCCAAGGGGATCTTTCCCCAGGCCTCCAGTAAGGGTCTCTCCAATCCAGCAAAAGTAGTAGGAGCAAGCAGTTCCTCGTCAATCATATTACCAAGAATTATCTATAGATTTTCAACGAGATACAAGTTAGGACTACTCGCTAGCCACATGTCTTTCCTCCAGAAATGCGGAATTCTCTCTGGCAGCTACTTCTAGATTTCCAGAGCTCTATGATCTGTGGCCTCCTCCTGCATAAACTCTATCCTTGACATGTCCGGAACAAGTTTATTTTCAAATTTTGGCCTGCTCACACGATATTTTCCAATGTTTTAAACAGGTTCTGCTTTGAGATATCTTCTCTTCACTATCCACTTGTGGACCCTGCGGTAAAATATGGAGGTCAGAGAGCCCTCCAAGGAACACTGCTCCCCATACCATGACTTTAGGACTTAACTTTGGAACTTCAATACTCTCAACCATGTTACG